ACAGGACATACATCACGAATACATGAATCAACTTAGAATGTGCTGCATACAAATTCAAATAATCTAGTGACTTCTAACCTGATAATTAAGCCGAATTATGAAAGTTAATTAAAGAGCTTACCTTCTTGCTCGGCTCTGTTCTTCTGTACTCAGCATTGGTAAAACATTTGCACAGAGATTACGGAAACACAAGAGCTTGAACACTGCACACGCACTTCACAATTGCAAAATTAAGACACTACGCTACTTAGTCATTAGCATGAACCGTAGCACTGGGATCGATGTTGACACTTGCACTAAGTTGGAAATGGAAAATAAATATGCTAGAAATTTAGAACTCTTTAACTACCAGTCCGATCAGTTCCAAATTTAGATAAATCCGATCAGTCCAATTAGATCCGGGGATAGCACTCTGGAAAAAAAACCCCACTCTCGTTAAGTATCCTTTTCTTGTCGCCCTTCGAATCTGACGAACAGACAGACAAACATTACAATATGAACAAACAGGTTTATTCTCAGCTTTTAGAAGGTAGTTATGTGTCACTCTAGTGTGACCAATTCTGAGGCGAGTCAAAAGAACTTCCTCCTTACGATTTCTAGTTAATTCCCAATGCTCAATTCTAGGCTTTACATGTCTTAACTTGTTTTGAAGCTGAACATCCCAAAGTTGCTGCCATTTTTTTCGGATCTTCTCTTTGACTACACAACAGATGTCTCCAAAAGGGATGAGGCGACTGGACAGATCAACAGCACATTTCGCTGTGATATCTGCCAGCTCATTCCCTTTTATTCCCACATGGCCGGGAACCCAGCAATACAGGATATCATATCCACGACTCGTTAAGTTTATATGTAACTTCAGAATATCCACTATGACTGGATTTTGAGTATGGGAAAAAGCTTCTAATGATTTAAGCGCACTACAAGAGTCTGTATAAACTATAAACTCTTTGTGGCAGAGCCTTGAGATGTACAAAAGACTATAATATATCGCAGTTAGTTCCGATGTTAAGACAGAGAAAGCATGGTTCAAGCGTCTGCCCTCCATGTGATCTTCAATTACAAATGCCATTCCAACATGATCTTTTGACTTTGAACCATCTGTATAGACTGGAATATAACTGCTATATTTGTGCCTGTGCTCAGCGAAGAGTTGTCTGTAAATGATCTCGTTAGTGCTTGCCTTCGCATGATGCTTAAAAACATTAAGAAGCTGCATCCGTACATTTTCCAAAGGTGGGATTTCAAAATTCTGTACTGCTTGGGGGTGCATATCAGCGAGGGAAAGTTCCTCAATGACAGGGCGAACTCTTAAAGGAAATGTAGGAACACAAGATGGACGTGTTTCAAATAACGCGTTACACACATCATCAAGTAAGCACAGCTTATTGGGATGTTCAGGTTGGGATAGTATATTAAAATATTGCAAAAGGGACAATTGTTCACGCCTCAGATAAAGTGATGGTTCATTACAGTCAACATACAGGCTCTGGACAGGAGAAGTCCTGAAAGCTCCTGAACAAATCCTCAAACCTTGATGGTGAACAGGATCCAGTTTTAACAAAACAGATGACCGAGCGGATCCATAAACAACTGAGCCATAGTCCAGTCTAGAGCGGATAAGCGCTCTGTAAATGCGAAGCATGGAGCTGGACTCAGTCGAGACTAACTATCTCGCACTCACTCTCCGCGTACCAGCAGGGCTTTTTATATAGCTTTCGGCTTGTGTTCGAGAACATTCTGCGCTAAACCGGTAAGAATTCGTTCCAGAGTTCTCCATCCGTCTATGGCATATCGCCAATTTTGTCCCCAAATGCGCGATTTTTCGCCAAATGTGACAACCTTTTCTTCCCTTGCCAATTATGGCAACCCTAAACCTGCTTTGCGGGGTAGCTATCTTACCGCGCCTGGACATTTCGTAACAATATCATTTTATGCAGACATAATGAAAGGGGTATTGCAGTCCTTTGCTTTGAATATTGCATGTGAAATCAAGACTCGAGACTAAGTTAGTCTCGAGTAAGACACAAGAGAAAAAAATAACGCCATTTTTAAAAAGCATCCAATTGCTTGAAGGCAACTGGATGCTTTTGCCAAACACTTCTTATCCACAATTTCATGCCGTTTTCGTCCATCCACCGTTTCTCGTGAACATGAATGAAAACACCATTTGAGAAATTACATTTTGAATCCGTCTTTCTTTTAAAAATAACCACGAGTTTAATTTTTGTTCCTTCCGCTAAGGAGGAAAGCACTACGGTGAGGTGCCATTTATGCCATTGCTAACGTTGGAAATAATAATTGAAATAGGCAGCTCATAAATCTCGTCGTCTCAAAATATCTTAAAAGTAACGTCAAAGCAGTTCGCAGAATACAAATCATAAAATTAGATCATAATAATAAGGCTTATTACAGCCTACTGATTGCATTATTGAAATCTTAAAGTTCATAATTTTAAATATAGGACAATAACATCTTACCTGTTTTTCAAAAAAAAAAAAAAAAATTATGCCCCTGAATAAACATGTCAGAAGAACAAAAAATGAACCAAAAATTTGGAAACTTTTTTACAAATTAAAGCAGAGAAACGTGAGCATTGATTAGTTGACTGCTTCCATGGCAAACACATTTTTTTCTCTTTGCCTTTTCTAATATAAGATCATAAAACTTTTCATGCCATTATGTGCCGTTTTATGTTGTTATATGTAGGGCGTCCCAACCGAAGCTCCGTATTTAATACGCACCCAAAAGATACTTTATTTATTTTTTTAAAGAAAATATTTTTACATATTCACAACAGGTAAATGTTCCGATTTCAGAATGTCGAGTTTGATTTAACCTGGCAACACTGGCAGTTTGTCACTGTCCATTCATTTCGCAGGTTCGCTGCAGATTAATCCAGTGGTCTCAAACTGGGAACACCCCCGAAGCAATTTTACATGCTCCGTGAATGCATTTCTATTATCTATTTGCTGCAAATACGGCGCTTATAGCTTTGGACCCATATGAGATATGGCCTGAGCTTATGTGCGTGACTGCTATTGAATTCACGGTATGAGTATCACGTGACCGGTACTAGCCAGTACGATTAGATCCACAGTGGTAGGCGTGGTGAGTTCAATTATTTACACTTTGTACAAATAACACTAAAAGTCTTTGCCTGTCCAGACACAAATACAAATTCACAAACACGAAATAAATCTTGTTTAAATACTTGGATGAATACTAGGATTAAATGCTTGATTAAATACTTGAATAAAATGAGATAATTTGGATAAACTATATACATATTTACAGCTACCACTTTACATTGTGGTGAATTGATCTAGGTCGTTTCGTGACGTTTTCCACAGTGGGACCATCGTTCGTAAGTTCTCTCAAAGTACTGACTGGCGAATTCTCCATTTTCTCAAAAAAGTTGTGAGCATCCATTAGGATCTGCTCCGGTATTGGTTTAATTTTTAAATCTTCATAAATGATCACATTTCTAACATACCAAGACGCATTAACAATCGCTCTTAGTATTTTATTTTGCAGGAGGTTAATTTTCCTTCGTTCAGTCTATAACGCCGTGGCCCAGGCCGAGGCTGCATAAAGCAAAATTGGTTTAATAAGTGCTAAATACAGAGTACGTTTAATTTTTAAGGCTGAGTTTAGACATGTAAGCTCTATTTGCTTTGTCTTTCAACGTCGGTACAATCAATAAATTTAGTTCGTCAGCCGGCAGATGGGGGCGCTTCAGTATTGAAGTCTTTTGGGTTTTTTTTTATTGATTGGCAGTGGTATAGTTAGGGGGCAATGGAGGACATCTGTTCTTCGACGTAGCATCCATAAAATTTTCTTTCCCTTCCCCGCTGCATTTTAGTAAGCAGAAGAGGGCGCGAAATCTTCAGTTGTTTCCTCATGTTGACAATGCTTCTGTTCTTCTCATAGAATACAAGAAATGGTGGTTCTTACATTCTATATATATAAGATCTTCCAGATCCTGCAGGAATTTAAACTGTTTTTTGCATAAATAAATGGTAATTGCCTCTTCACTTTCTACCATTTCGGCTAATGTAATATTACAGAGAAGAATTTTGCTTCCGAAAAACAAAGAAACCTGTAATGAAATGTTCAAAGGCTACTTAGAAAAGAGATATGAAAGATTTTGTACAATTGTTGTGGGCGTAATGGAACAGGCAAGGTATTATCTTCAGTGAACTGACGCAGAATAATCGAATCCTTTTGGTGCTATCAGCTCCAACATGTTCATGCGGAACTTCCCGGAACAGGACCAAACAAACAATATCGCGTCATCATCCACAACAACAGTGCCAGACCCCATGTGGTAGAAATACCGAAACTCACTATTCATCAGCTTAAGGATTCTGCACCAGGTGTGGCTATAATATTTTCCGGATGTGATTCCTGAAAGTTATTTATCAGCTTAAGTATAAGATTCTGCGCCAGATGTGGCTATAATATTCTCCTGATGTGATTCCTTAAAGTTATTTACCAGCAAGCATAAGATTCTTCATCCGATGTGACTATAATATACTCCGGATGTGGTTCCCTAAAGTTATTTATTAGCTTAAGTAAAACATTCGCACCAGATGTGACTGTAATATTTTCCTGATGGGATTCCTTAACGTTATTTATCAGTTTAAATATGAGATTCGTCACCAAATGTGGCTATAATGTTCTCCGGATATGTTTCCTTAAAGTTATTTATCAGCTTATATATAAAATTCTTCCCCATGTATGGCTGCAGCATATACAATGCTATCAGCTTGAAGTTACCATCTTCTAAGATCATTGTCGATGGTACTCCATGGTAAGTCCTCTGAAATGATGATCAGCTGCAAAACGTTTTTGAATGGCTCTGAATGATCCCAAAACTGCCAGAACAATGGTTAGTTTAATACTGATAGCAATAAATGTACTTTGGTACTAAGAAAAAAGGCCATAAATTCATGCGTCGACCCAGTACATATCTTTAATTAAATGAAGTTTCTTACCGTGGTGCCACTGACGTCTGGAGGACCAGCAGCACGTAGTCTTGCTTCTAATTCCTCCACCGGCATGCCCTTTTGATCCGCTAAGACGCTTAGGAATTCTTGAAATTCCTCACGATCAAGTTTCTTTTTATTGCTAAAAGAATCAGAATTGAAAAAAAAGTATTCAGAGTTTGGATTTTGACGTCAGAAATGTCTACGGCATCATGCGCAAATAAACTGTTACTTTCTGGCACGTTTAATATTTCCCGTATTTTAATAAGCAGAAGTTTTATTTTAAAAGCTTAATTTCAAATAGATGTCGAGTTACAGTAGGGCCCATATCACACATGCATTTGTTCCATACGAACAACTTTTTCGGACAATTTTTCTGCCTGGTTTATTATTAAAAGAAAGACGCACGATTTTTTTCCTCCCTTTCGAAAAAAATTGCAAGTTGTTCGCTTTCAGCCAATCAGCTATCAGCTTCGAATGCTATCAGCTTGTTTGTAATGGAGAACCAGTTTCCTCTTTACATGCTAACCCCAAAGTGATCTGGGTGATTGGCTGTTGTGACAAAGTAGAAAAATTGTTCCAAACAGTTGTTCTTCTGAAACAAGCGGATGTGTGACAGCAGCCGTTCTAAATTAAATTCTCTAAATTGAATTCTAGTTATTCAGAATACTTATTCTGAATAACTAGAATTCAGTTTAGAGTCAAACAACAAAAATCAGCGTATATTTGCAATTTTTCACAGGACTAGTTTCGATGATTTTAGCGAACCATCATCCTCAGCTGCCAAAGCGCAGACGTAGAGGAATTTCTGAAATTTTCACGCCCTCTTTCCTCCAAAAGGAAATAATTGCTCTTTGCTTCTGCCATAATATCAAAGTGCCACGAAAATGCGTCTATATCACTCAAAAAACTCAGTCGGTCTAAACTATATCAAACAGGATAACTTCATAAACATATCAAGACTTGTCTCTGGTCTAGGAATTGAACTAGAGCTCAATTCCTAGAACTTCGGAAACTGCCCACTCAATGCACACAATGTATGCATGTGATCAAAGTTGGACTTATGAAGCAATCTTTTCAAATACAGGACTTATGAAGCAATCTTTTCAAATACAATACTCTCGATTATTCGGATTAATGCCAGGAAAGTAGTTCACGGATAATTGAAAAACGCGGATAATTAAAACTTATTCGTGTGTTTTTGCTACTGTATGTATTTATTTCTTAAAAAAAAAAAAAAAAAAAAAAAAAAAAAAAAAACGCATTTCTGTTTTTCTTTTTCAGAGCATTTAAATATTTGTAGAATTTCACTGCGTATTTTTCAAAGTACTATTTTATCACTGCATTCAAATCCCTTTGGGTCGATAAAGTCCAACAGACTCAATGGGAAACAATAGTCCAATGATCGATGGGTCCAATAATCGAGCTAATCCATGGAAAACAATGTCTAATAGACTATACATATGCAAGAGAAATCACTGAATCTTTTCGTCTTAATCATTTTCACTTGTATTTTCAGTATCACTTTCTGACACTTCTTTTCTTGTGACACTTGAAACGATATCCACATCGTTCGAGCACTGAAAGCCCGTCTCTTTCGAATGTCATCGATATATTTCTCGATGTTTTCCCGACCGATATTTACGTACAAATATGTACGAAACAACACCAACAAAAAAAAAAAAAAAAAAAAAAAAAAAAACCTGTGATCAATAGAAACGATGCCTTTGTCTATACTCTCATGGGTAAAAAAACTGCACGACAAAATCATTGAAACCAAACAGAAAAAGGGCAATTCAGTGATTTTTAGAGCATGCTCGACTTGCGTGCGTGTGTTTTTGCCTGCTATTGCGCCTAGCGTTGAATGCGTGTGCATGGCCACCGCCATGTACGGATAATCAGCAGCCGGATAATAGAAAGTACACTGTACATATATATGCTTTTTCAAGAGGATGTATATCCCAATGATTGTCACACTGAACTGCATCTAATATAGTATCAAATAAGCGCCGCGCATTCTATAACATAGTGTCTCCACTACAGTTACTGCCTGCACATCATATCTGTATACATAATATATAATTCATCTATATCTATCAATATTGTATCTGCATTACCTGTATAATCTCATAGCTTCGCATAGAAATATATAGCTTGGTAACATCACACACCACAGCAGCATGGTGCTGCGTATATAATTGTGTTAATATAGTATAATCTGTTCTATAAGTGATATATAGATGTGTTTTAATCTGTTACTATAATTGTGTGTATATAATAGTATAGTGCTTTAATCTGTTAGTATAATTGTGCTTATATAATTGTGCACAATTGTGTTGTATACGGTAGCATGGTGTTTTATTCTGTGTTTTAATACTTTAGTATAATTGTGTTTGCATAATTGTACACCATAACTGTGTTGTACATAGTAGTATAATGTCTTATTTCGTTTGTACAATTGTGCGCGGTATATTTTCTAATATCTAATACTTTACAAGTACAGTGTATCTGTTTTTACATTGTGCATCAATTCTGTAAGCATTGTGTATATAAAAAGCGCTGCATATCTATTCAAATTATATAAGTATTGTGTACCTGATATAATGTATTCTACAGCGTAAAGTTTCATTTGTAATTACTACAATCTGATAACAAATTTAATATTCTACAGTGTGGCTGCATGCTTTATGTATGTTTATGGGCGCATTTTACATGTAATTTATATGTGTCTTTAGTTTAAGTGTATAATATATATTAGCTCAATTATGTTTCATTATAAGTATATGTTTTACTTGTATAAGTGTGTGCAAACTAGTATCTAATTTCTATTATTCTGTAATGTGCTTACACGTTCTATATGTTTTATATGTGTTATATATGTGCTTTTATATGTGTTTTACAAGTGCTTTGTATGAGTCTTTTATATGTGTAAAGTGTATGTGTTTGTATATGCTGTAATTAGTGTGTAACAAACCAAGGTGTAACAAATCATTCGCCTATCGTTCAAAACTAATGTATTCTTAAGACGCCTCTGTATGGCCATGTGCAATTACGTAAAATTCTTCAATAAACTCCTGAGGTGGTCTCATCAGGCTCCTTGGAGGTGCTGTCACTCGATAGGGGAAGGCGCGGGACATATGCCTGTTTACCTCTGTTAAACATCAGGCGTCCCCGTCCTCCGTCACCTGTCACCACCTGTCACACTGAACTTATAATGAGTGAGTGAGTGAGTGAGAGATTATGGCGCAAAACCAAAGTTGATTATAGTGCGCCAAACGCGAGATGGGGTGACTACAATTGCTGAAATTAAAATACAATAAATAAAAACAAGTAGCCAAATGTAATCAAATCCGAGGATGAAGTCATATAAAAACAAGTTAAAACCACATTCAAGACACAATTTTCAAAACAAATTACATTAGGTGATAAAAGCCAATCTCTTTTAAATAATAAAATAAATTACAATTGACCTCTCTTCCGATTAAACGGTCGAGAGGTAAGTCACAGCTATTAAAATATTTCTGGCGAAGACTATCAAAACATGGACACTCAATTAAAATATGACGAACAGATAAACAAACATTACAATTAAAACAAACAGGTTTGGAAATTTCCGGTTATGTTTTTACCACCAATCCTCGAATTCCATATCACAGATTATGTTCTTACTTACCATTAATAAATATTAACAAGACATAGGCACAATAAAAAATTAAGCTTTATTTAGGAACTTCGCTGCACACTGCCCGACAGCCTGCCTGTTTCGCTCTGCTCGCTACTCGTAAGAATTTCTCCTCTAGGGTTGCCACATTATCGAGGGCGCAAGGCGCGCTCTCTACCAGTATATTATCTCGTTGGTTTCCCCCCAGTTCCTTTGATGGCTAATCAAAGGAACGACATCAGATTATGAAAATTATCTCAAGAGGATCCGTACTGTCGGGTATTTTTTTTATAATTACAAAATTGGAATATAAAATTAGAAATGATCAAAATGCAATTCAATATATAAGAAGGTAATGATACATATACTAAACATGAAATAACAAAAAATATGTTACGATATTAATTTAAAAAAAAAAATAAATAAATTGTTATGCAAGAAGCAAGATTTCTTAGGGAAGTGAACATGTCTTCCCGATCTGGTGGCAGTTTGTATCTTAGAGAGTTCGTTTGCAGATTTATCTGCTGAACTGTCTTTAAGTCTTTATTTGTTTTCAGTTCAAATTAGAGTCCGAAATGCAAATAAGGCTGGTTTCACCCGGGCTATAGACACAGTAGATTTCAGACCGTTAATATCAATGTGAAAGTTTTGTCCGTTCTAGAAAGAACTTTATGCGGACCTGTATATGGTTGGCACAGAGGTGGCTTTACTCGATCGACACGTAAGTATACATGCGTACACGACTTTAAGGTAGCACTTACGTAACATTTTTCTTGGCAATGTGCAGATGTTGCTATTGGATTCAACTTGTTGCATTCTATGCCGAAGATCGTGATAAATGTGTGTCTACGGAGATATCTTAGATGACGTTATCTATCACTAGGCAGCTTGAGAGTTGTGCCGTACACCAGTTTCAGCACAAGATGACTGTAGATCTTCCTTTACGGCTGTCCGAAACCAAGCAAAAACTGGTAGTGTTTCAGTCCAGTTATTGGTCCCTCGTGAGCCCTGAGAGAAGATTTTAAATGTCGATGAAATCGTTCAACAATGGCCGTTGACATTGGATGAAGGCTGTTGTTGTGATTCTGTTCGTACCCCAAAATGCGCGTGAATTCTGCAAAAAGTGCGGATCTCATTTGAGAACCTTGGTCTGTTGTTATGATCGATGGGCCAAGCCAAAACGAGATATCCAACAGTTGAAGATGGCTCTGCAAATGGTTTCCGTTTTCATATCCGGGATGGGAATTGGCTTCAGGCCATCTGGAGAATCTATCTATGAGAGTTAAAAGTATACATTGCCTTCTGATGGAGGTAACGGTCCGACGATATCCATATGGATTTCTGAAAAACGTGCATCAGGAAGAGAGAATGTGCCCAGTGGTGCTTTAGTATGCCTAGTAATTTTCGATTTTGCAAGATTCACAGGATTTCACCCAATTTTTGATATGACGTTTCATGTCGGGCCATACATAACGAGAACA